CGGCAGACACACACCAACACACTAACACACCACACACAGTCACACACCCTATGAAGCCCAGGTGTTAGCTTTGCACACAGCAAACACATATACTGACACATCACAGACTAACACACCACACACACTACAAAGCCCAGGTGTGAGCCCTGCACACGGCAGACACACACTAACACACCACACACGCACACGCATTAACACACCACATGCACACAGCTAATGAAACCCAGGTATGAGCCTTGAGCACACAGTCACACACCCACGATACCACATCGTACACGGCACACACGCTGCACACGGTACACTCGAGCATGTTTGCACGGGTCCACACACAGGCATGCGTGCACGGGGACAGGCTCCCTGTGGCGCCTGCCCCTCTCTGCCCTGTCCGTGGCCTGAGACCTGCACTCTGTGCTTGCCGCCCCAGGGTGGGAAGATCCCCATCCGCTGGACAGCACCTGAAGCCATCGCCCACCGCATCTTCACCACAGCCAGTGACGTGTGGAGCTTTGGCATTGTGACCTGGGAGGTGCTGAGCTTTGGGGACAAGCCATATGGTGACATGAGCAATCAGGAGGTAAGGTCTCAGTGTACCCCACTCCACACCCCAGTTCACCTCCTGACCTCCCACCCCTGGCCTCTGCTGTCTCCCTGCCCATGTCCTGCCCTCACAGCCACCTCACCCGGCCAGGGGATGCCCCGTGTGAGCACAGGTAATGCCACCTGTGCTGCGTACAGGTGATGAAGAGCATTGAGGATGGCTACCGCCTGCCCCCACCCGTGGACTGCCCTGCCCCGCTCTACGAACTCATGAAGAGCTGCTGGGCCTACGACCGTGCCTGCCGGCCCCCCTTCCACCAGATTGACGCCCACCTGGAACAGCTGCTGGCCAACCCCCACGCACTCCGCACTGTCGCCAACTTTGACCCCAGGTACCATCCACCACGGACAGTGTGCACCCAGCTGGGGCTGTGCCCTCTGAGAAGGGCCATTTCTCCCTCCACTGGACAGTGGTGGGCGCAGGAGGGGCACAGAGTGCTTGGACACTGCCTGGGGTCCATGCTACCCTGCTGCCCTCCACTCTGCCCATCCTCCCACGGAGGCATGCCACCCACTAGGGCAGGGCTGCAGGGAGGGTCACTCTCTGGAGGGGCTCATGGTGTGGGAAGTATGCCGCCCACTAGGACAGGGCTACAAGGGAGGGTCACTCACTGGCGGGTTCCATGGTCTGCTCTCAACTGCCAGGCCAAAGATTGTGAGTTCAAATCACACATGTGCGGCTGTGTACTGTTGAGCTGATCCCCTTAGCAGAAACCTCCGGTGGGTTTTCTGAGGTGGTAAATCACACGGGAGGAGAACGCCCATCCTTCTCCTGCAGAGGAGCTAGTGGATTCGAACCACGTGCCTTGGGTTGCCAGCACAGTTCCTTACTAAGCCTCCACATAAGAAAGGCCTAGCTTTGGCTTCCCCCGTGGAAGTCCTGTGAGGTACAGTCCTGCTGACACTCAGGGCTCACCCAGCTCGGCACCAAGGGCCTGGCTCGTGCGTGCCGCTGTGCGCTGAGCGAGTCTGGGGCTTGAAGACAGCCAGCTCCCTGCAGGGGACTTGGAGGGTGAGCTTCAGTGGGAAGCCAGGAGAGCTGGGGACACAGGACTTCGGCAGTGTGCTGTGACAGGCGGGAGCAACGTCCAGGGCCTGAAGGGTAGCCAGCCAGGGACAGAGGGCCAGCTCGCAGGCACTTGAACGTCACCCTGGGAGCAGAGAGCAGCCAGTAACCCCATGAGCGCTGCCCGTGGCCCACGACATGGACAGGATGGCACTTGGCCAGCACTGCCTGGGGGTTGGGGCTGGGGGTCAGGAGGGGGTTATGTGGCAGGGACTTTCTGGGAGTGACCGCAGCCTGCAGAGCTGTGCAGGGAAGGCACGCAGCCTGAAGCTATCTTTTGGAGCGCAGCCCTGAGGCGCGTGTGCTAATCTTTCTGGAATGCTGACTATTCTTCCCAGTGGATTTGCTCTGCGATGCCTGTGGCTCTGGCTGGCGTCAGCACACTGAACAGTCCCAGTACTGTGGGTGTTGTGCTGAGAATAACAGGAGGTGACCCAGGCTCACTGGCCGCCCAGAGTGGGCCGCCCTCAGACCCCAGGTCCTTGCTCCCTGCCCTCTGGCTCCAGCTGTGCCCTCAGCTCCTTCCTGTCTGCAGAACCAGTCATTCAAGGGGAGACGGGCCTGTGGCCCACAGACTAGGAAACAGGCCCAGACAATAGCGTCTAGTCCCCAAAGCCCTCTGGGAACAATGCCCTGACACCCAGCTGGGTGGGGCTGCAGGGAGCTGAGACGCCACTGAGTGCTCCAAGGCAGTCCCAGGCCTGGGAGAACATAACACCCCTTACTGCCACCCACCACTGGACCTCTCTCTCCCCCGATCACAGCCCCATCTCTTTCTCACACATACACACACGTCACTCAGTTCACTCCCCTGGAATCACAGCCCATGTCCCAGCCACCCACCTGTCACAGCCCTGGACCTCTCCCCGCCCCCCCCCATCACCCTCTCACACATACACACCCGTCACTCAGTTCACTCCCCTGGAGTCACAGCCCGTGTCCCAGCCACCCACCATCAGTCCTGTACCCCTCCCCATCACCGGCCCACATGAGCCTTCCTGCCCCTGCGTTTCCCGGCCCATGTCCACAGGGTGACCCTCCGCTTGCCCAGCTTGAGTGGCTCCGATGGGATCCCATACCGCAGTGTGGCCGAGTGGCTGGAATCAATCCGCATGAAACGCTACATCCTGCACTTCCGGTCGGCAGGCCTGGACACCATGGAGTGTGTGCTGGAGCTGACCACTGAGTGAGTGTGGGCTCGGATGGGAGGGACAGCTGGCCGTGCGTCCACTCCGCATCCTCACGTCCTGCTCCCCACAGGGACCTGACTCAGATGGGCATCACGCTGCCCGGCCACCAGAAGCGGATCCTTTGCAGTATTCAGGGGTTCAAGGACTAAGCACCTCTGCCCCTTCTCAGGGAGCGGGCACCCCATGGACAACCCCACCCTCCAGGCCACCTGGCCTTTGGTGTCGCCCACCCCCTGGGATGCCCATCAGTGTTCACAGTGTTGGGGGTGGGGTGTTGTCTGGTGCCGCCCACCATGGGGCCCCTGGTTGTGATCAAGGCCTGGGTTCTGGGGTGCTGGTGCTGCACACTCCTGGAGCCCCCAGAGCACACACAAGGGCCCTGGGTTCTGGGGTGCGGGTGCTGCACACCCTCAGGGCCCCCTGGCAGCGCTCAGGGTGTCCAGGTGCTGGGGGGCAGGGTTTAATATATGCGCACATATCTATTTTTGTAAATAAATGGGACCGAGTTCTCGCCCTCCTCCAGTTCTTCAAGCCCCCTCCTCCCTCCTGCCCTGAGCACAGGCACGTCACACAATGGTCCATGAAGCTTCTGGAAAAAGGTGGTTTATTGCAGCTGTGGCCACAACCTGGCGGCACTGGTGAGGGACAGCCACCCATCCCAGCCTGGCACCCACCTCGGTGCTGGGCTTGTAGCAGTGGAAGCAGCCGTGAGGCGGGCACCCAGGCGTTGGGTGAGGGGACAGAGGGGCAGACTGTGGGGTCCTGGGGGGTGGCTGAGGAGGGGCGGGAGCCCAGGTCTCAGCCTGCAGCCCGCAGAAGGCGGGTAGGTACTGGTCAGGGCCTGGGCCCCAGCTGGACTGGGGGCTGGTGGGGTAGCCTGCCGGTCTAGGCTCGGGCTGTGTGGCACTGCCGGCAGAGGACATGCCCGTCCAGGGGGAAGCAGCCATTGTCATCAGCCTCGATGGACAGTGGCTTCCCGCAGTCCTGGGGAGACAGTGAGTCCTGGTACACCGTGTGCCCACCACCTATCCGAGCCACCTACCCTCCCACCCTAAACAAGAGACCACAGCCCCAGTCCTGTGCAGTGGCCACCACACAGAGTCCAACTACAACTCCAGGTGACTTCATAGAACCCCCACAGGCCAGGGTGACCACTGACCCCTGAGGAGAGGTTCACCATGTCGGCCAGCAGCACCCCTCAGCACACCGGGAAGCAGGGTACACACCTCACACTTGTAGCACTTCATGTGGAAGTTCTTGTCCAGGGCCACCACCCGCACGGTCTCGTCCCGTCCTGGTTCAGGCATGATGGGCTCAGAGCACACGGAGCACTTTGGGGCGTACTGCCTGGGGGCGGAGCGGAGGTCAGCTTGGGCTCTAGGGGTTGGGCTGTGGTCCGTGTGGGAACCCCAAAGGTGGGGTGGGGTCAGCATGAGGACTCTTGAGGGTCAGATGAGGGGTTAGCGTGAAGCTCTGTGGAAGGGGGTGGGGGTCAGTGTGGGGGTTCTGGGGATGGGATAAAAATCAGCATGGAGGCTGTGGGTTAGGGGGTGAGAAATCAGCATGAGGGCTTGTGGGACTCAGTGTGGGGTTCTAGGGGATGGTAGGAGCCAACATAGGGGTTCTGGTAAGGAGAGTGGTCAGTGAGGAGTGAGGGGCAGTGTGGGGACTCTTGAGGGGCCAGACAGAAGGGCTCAAAGGGGGTCCTGGGGAAGGGGACAGGGTCAGCATGAGGCTGTGGGGTCACCAGGGGATGGGTCAGCATGGAGGCCAGGCCTGTGCCATCTGGGGAGCTGCACTGGAGGGGGTGCTTACTTGTGGTAGTCTGGGACACAGTGGGGCTGGTTATTCTGGTCGACAATGAAGGAGGTGTTCTCCAGAGGGCAGGCACAGACCACGCAGGTGAAGCACTGCGGGTGGTAGGCCCTGCCGGTGGCCCGCAGCATCCGCTCGGTGATGGGCTGTCCGCACGTGTTACACTTCTCCAAGGTGTCCTGCAGCCAGTGCAGATGAGGCAGGTGGGCGCCCAAAGGACACGCCCCTCCGCCCTGGCCCCGCCCCTGAGCACAGGCCCCGCCCCTGAGCAGGCTCTGTGCCCCCTCCAGCACACAGGCCCCGCCCCACTCACGGTGTAGCAGCCCTCGCAGTAGGGTGCACCCTCCAGGCTGTAGAACTGCTGGCCCTGCAGCTGCCGCTTACACTGGTGGCAGGTGAAGCAGGTGACGTGGAACAGCTGGCCCAGTGCACGCACTGCAGGCTGAGCACGTGCCAGGGGCTGCTGGCAGCTGCCACAGAGCTCTGCGGGGGGCCAGGGAGAAGACAGGGGTTATCGTTGAGGGGCATTGGGATGGGTGCACAGAGGGCTCATGCTTGAACCCCATGGCAACAGAGGTGAGGAGCTGGGCAGAGAGGCCATGGGGTGGGCAGGAATAGAGGGTTCATCACTGGGCTCCATGACCACAGAGCTGAGGGGCCGGGCAGAGAGGACAGGGGGTGGGCAGGAACAGAGGGTTCATCACTGGGCTCCATGACCACAGAGCTGAGGGGCCGGGCAGAGAGGACAGGGGGTGGGCAGGAACACAGGGCTCACTGCTAGCTCCCATGACCACAGACCTGAGAAGCCCGGGCACAGGGGCAGACGCCAGCCATGGGTGCAGGCAGAGGACTCACCGCTGGTGGACACAGCTGGCACCTGGGGCTGTTCCATGTCCTGCATGAGCTGTTTTGTCAGCTGCTCCAGCTCTTCCACCTCCTTCAGTGTCAGGGGGCCAGAGGTCCCAGCAGGGCGGACCTGAAACCCCAACACCCTTCTCAGACTCTGACGCCTACCTTCCCTGCAAGGGCTGAGACCCTTCTCACTGGCACACCAGCCCCAACCCAGGCCCCGGCCCTCCCTGGGCACCACAGACAGGCCAAGGACAAAGGCCACAGAGCAGCTCAGCTCACAGAAGCACCGACACGCCAGGGCCAGGCAGACCACGGAACATGCTACACACCACGGGGCCATGTGCCCGCACACCTACCGTCCGCCTGCTGCCCAGGAGAGCGTGGGGACACAACACAGGCGGTGGTATTAGAGCCAGAGTCCGGTGCCACCAGCCCACCCTGTGCCAAGAGGATGAAGCAGGCTCACCCCGGAAACAGGCCGGGGGCGTGGCTGGAACCCTGAGAATGTGGGGTGCTGCAAGGCAGTGCTCACCCCTACAGAGGCTGGGGGTCATGGCTGAAACTGAGAATGTGGGGTGCTGGAGGGGAGTGCTTGACCCCACAAAAAGGCTGGAGGCATGGCTGGAACCCCGAGAATGTGGGGTGCTGGAGGGCAGTGTTTGACCCCACAAAAAGGCTGGGGGCACGGCTGAAACCCCGAGAATGTGGGGTGCTGGAGGACAGGGCCCTTGCCCTGGTGATATGCGGGGTGTTATAGGGCAGGGTCTGCTAAGGGAACATCAGTGGCCATACTGGTCAGGCTGTGACCAGTCCCCCAGGATTGCCTTTCCCTCACTGACCCACCCACCTGCCTGTCCATAGCACCCCCTGGCCAAGCTGCCACCAAGGAGAACGCCCTTCCTCCTAACCCAGCACTGAGAGCTTCTGCACCCAGGCACAATGTCCATGTCACACAGCCCAGGCCTGGCCTGGCCACCTCTCCTGCATCTCCCCATCTCCTGACTAGGGTTCCTGTAGACCCCTCTACAACACAACCACCTTTCTCTCCCACTCTGATGGCCCTGGGGGGCAGTGGGTGACACACAGCCGGCCCCAGCTCTCTGGCCTCTACTTGGTGACCATTCCATCTCCCTGGAAGTCCTCTATCCCATGGGCACCACAATCCCCAGGAGACACATGCCACATTCCAAGCTCCAGCTTCAACCACTGAGGCACCGTATCATTGTATCACTGTCCAACTGAGACCTCCAACACCCTGGGCTGGAGTCCATCTCTGCCACCCCAGAGACAACTGCTCCATGGCCCCCTCAGAAGGCCAGCCATCCAGCACGATGACCTTGGCCCATCCCCAGCCTGCCTCTCCCATATGTCTGTTTATAGCCATTTTGTCACCCTCAATAATCTGGTCAAATGTCCAGTTCTGGGATGTGCTGCCCACTTACTGTGTGCAGCCTGGCTGCAGAGGCCCAGAGGGGGTCATGCCATAGAGGAGTATGCCTGGGACTTGGCTCTAGGGATGGCCAGTTGCGTTCTCCATGGCGACTGCTCTACACCTGTCCATCTTTCTAGCCCCCACTGTCTTCACCCCTCACTGTCACCTCATTGCACTCCCCACACCTCTGGGTGCCCGCACCAGGTCCTCCAGGCCAGGTCCCTAACATGCCTTTGGCCCTCAGCACCCACATCACCAACTCCACAGCTAACGGTGGACACCAGAACAGGGGCTCTCACTACTCTCCAACTCACGGCCTCCCACACCACCCAAGATGTCCTAGTCGCCTGCATCCGCCTCCAGACCCCTTTCTCAGCCTCCCGCCATGGCCTTCTCTCCCTGGCTACCTATACCTACTGCACTGTTTAAGTCGGCCCACACCCTTGCCAGGCCCTCTGTAGTCTCAACAGGAAGTTTCTGAGTGTAATAGTCCAGTGTGACCATGACTGTGACAGCCCAGGGCCAGGCAGACCTGCTCCTGGACTCCCATTCACCATCTCCAACACGACGCGCCCCTCCAGGAGCAGTTCTTGCTCAAGGTCTTGTCCAAGGTAAGCCCTCCTGCTCCTCCCCTGCAGCCACTTCCCCTTCAGACTCCATCTGGTTCCCAGCATGCCTGCCCGCTCCGCCCCCAGTGCCACCCCTCCTCCCCGTAATCAGTTCCTCTCTTATCAGCTATCAGTTCCTCAGCCTGGGACAGGCTTCCTCTGCAGCCACCTCAACTCAGAACCCATTGTTCACTGGCCAAAGTCCTCGCACTGGGTAGACCCACACATTCCTGCTGGGAGCACCCAAACCTCCAAAAGCATGGCCCTCACAGTGCCCATCCCCACCCCTGCCACCCCAGCCCAACGGTGCCTGCCCAACTGGGGACCTGCCCACACTTTCAATTCCTCTTCTTCATCTGCAGCCCCGGGCAGCTCGGGAGGGCCCCTCCACAGTCCTGCTTTATCTTCTTCCCTGTGGTGATTCAGCACAGTCCCCCCTCCTCTAGACCCTTTGTGATTCAACTTGTACCCCACCCTGGTGCCCCACCTGCACCCCAGCAACTCCCTGTGTGCCTGCACAGACACACTGTCACAGAGTCCAGTGTCACCTGGCCAGATGAGGCCTCTGCTGGCCAGCCCCCTGGGTTCAGGAACCAGGTTGGAAGCCTGCTCTGCATTCAGCAGGCACGGTGCCCAGCCCTGCCGCACTGGCCCACTGCCCTGCAGCACAAAGACAGTGCAGTCTGCGAGAGGGCAGCTGAGACTCAAACTACCAACTCCCTCAGGCCCGCTGGAGGCTGGGGACCATGCGTGCCCAGGCTGAGCCCTGGTCTCCCTGTGGTCTTGAATGCCTGGAACCACAGAGCTGGCATGACCATATCACCACTGCTCTGGTCAGCAGCTGGCCCCTCAGCGGACTAGAGAAGGTGAGGACCAAGCTTGGAAGGTGTCCTCAAACCCTTGGGCAGTGAGCTGCGCCAGTGCCGGTCCGGTCCGTCCAACCAGACATCTCTCCCCACCCCACCCCTTGCCTCCAGAACCCTTTACAGTTGTCCCCAAACCCTGCATAAGGAAATGCCCCTCCCCCACTCAGCCCTGGCTGGCGGTGCTCAAGCCTCTTCCTGATTCAGTCCCACCTGGGCCCCTGGCATGGCCTCCCTAGACCCAACCCTCAGTCCTCTCACCTGGTCTGTCCTCCCTCACCTGGTCTGATCCTCCGTCACCTGGTCTAGCCTCCCTCACCTGGTCTGTCCTCCCTCACCTGGTCTAGCCTTCCTCACCTGGTCTAGCCTCCCTCACCTGATCTGTCTCTCCCTCACCTGGTCTGATCCTCACCTGGGTGGCCTCTCTCACCTGGTTTGGGGCTGATGGTGGTGGGGTCACAGGCTGCTGCTTCTCCTTGTGCTGGGCATAGGTGACACTGGGAGGCTGTGGAGAGCTTGTGCCCATGGCAGAGGGAGCTTCTGGGGACCCCAGCTTCTGAGTGGGCTGTGATGCAGGTCCACCTGGGGCTCCAGGGCTGAATTTGGAGGCCACAGGAGTGAATTTGGAAGCCAATGGAGAAAACTTTGGTGCTGGAGGCCCTCTGGCTGCAGACATAGGCTGGGGCTGCAGCTGGGGTGGGGGCTGGGCCAGAGGTCTGGCCTGGGGTGGGGGTTGGGGCTGAGCCTGGGGTCTGGCCTGGGGTGGAGGCTGGGTGGGAACTGGGGCAAGTGTCTGGCTCTGGGATGGGGCTGGAGCCTGGGGTGGGGAGGTGGCAGGGACCTTCCAAGGTGGCAGGGGTGCTGACCCCCCAGCTGGAGGTCTAGGGCTGGTCTTGGGAATGAAGGGCGTGGCCACCGGCGGGGGCACATATCCGGGGGCCACCTGCAAGGGAGGCAAGGACAGGCATTAGAGGAGGGAAAGGGAGTCCTGTAGTGTGGCCCTTCCCAGGCCTTCCTCTGTGCAGCCCCTTACCCGAGCCTTGAAGGGGTCATTCCTGGTCATGTCGTCCAGTAGCGAGGACAGCGAGTCCATCTCCAGGTCAATGCTGCTCACCTTCTCCCTGGGCTGCTGTCAGGGACAGAGGCCAGTCCTCCATGCTGTCCCCACACCAGCACAGAAGAGGGGTCCCCTCCTCCACGACCCCTCCTCCAGGCCCTCTACCTGTGGGGGGAGCGGTACGGGCGGTGGGGGTGGCGCGCGCGCCTCCTCCTCCTCCTCCTCCAGCAAAGGCGGTGGGGAAGGGAAGGTCTCGTCCTCCAGGGGCGCAGGGGGGAACTCTTCAATTGGGGGAGGGGGCGGCGGGAAGGGGCCTCCCAAGGCACCCTCTGCGTCATCGCAGTCCCCGAGGGGCGGAGGGGGCGGCAAGGGAAAGTCTGTGGAAAGGAGCGAGTAGTCAGTAACCTCTCCAACCCTCCCAAAAACCCCTTCCTCCTCCGGCTCCAGCCCCCACGGGGGGAGGGCAGTGAAGGCAGATGGGTGGCGGGGCGCGGCATACTGGGGCGCCAGGTCACACGAGGGCACTGCGGAGGATCGGGGTGCCCCGTTACACCTTCGAGAGCGCACCCCAAGACAAGAGTCCCGGTGTCCCCGCCCCCGCTGGCGGGCTTGGCGCAGCACCCCGAGGCCTGGCCGCGAGCCACGAGCCGGGATGAGGTAAGAACAGCTGCTCGGGACGGGGGCTGCGCCAGCCCCTCCGCAACCGCCTCTCCCGACGTCCCCCGCACCCCAAGGCCCTCCGAGGGGCCCCACTCGGGACCCCACCCGCCACCGCTCCCCGCCATCTGCCCCAGCACGCCCTGAGACCCCCGCGCCGCTGCGCCCGCGCCCCCCACCCAGCCCGCCGGCGCGCACATCCCCCGAAGCCCCCGCACCCCCGGCGCACGCCCCGCACCCTACACCCCAGCCCCCCACCTCCCTGCATGTACCTTCGGGGGGCGGTGGAGGCACCTCGCCCACCCGGCCCATCTGCGCGCGCTGCGCCCCTGCTGCCGCGGGGGTCTCGCCGTCTCCGAGGCGGAAGGGGTTCACTTTGGGCTTGGGGGCCACCACGGGGGCGAACTTCTTCTGCGGCGCGTAGAAGGCGGGCGCCGAGACGGCGACGGCGGGGGGCGGGCGCGGGGCGGCCATGCCGGCGAGGGGCGCGCGGGGCTCAGGTTCTGGCCGCCCGGCCCGGGGCTCCGCGTCCGCCCGCAGCCGGGAACTCGGGCGGGGAGCGAGCGGCGTGACTATACAAGGAGCGGCGGCCGGAGGGGAGCGGCCAGGAACGCCCCCGGAAGGCGCGCCGGCCCAACGGCCTCTGATGTCATTTCCTGACCCCCCTCCCCAGCCCGCGGGCCTCTGAATCACCGTCCCCGGCGGCAGGGACCCTCTCCCCACCACCAGCCCCTGCCTGCTCCGCCCGGACCCCGGGGCGCGCTGGAGCCCGGCTCCCTGAGTGGGGACACCGCTTCCGCGCCCACCCCGGTCCTGGACTTGAAAGGGGCCCAACCCAGGAAGGCACACGGCCTGTCCGCCTGCACGGGGCAGGGTCCCTGCTGCTGGGAGGGTCCTGTGAGGCCTCGAGACCCCTGCCCCCTGTCCTCCTGCTGCCCATCGCAGTCAGCACTCTTACTCAGCCGGTCGGAGGACTGGGTCTGACCTCTGTGCTCCAAACCACACAGCCAGGTCCCGGCCTGGTTTGTTTCCGAGAGGAAAGTGGAACTTCCCGATCCCTGCATTCCTGCACTACCCCCACCTGCCCGCGCCCTCCTGGGGTCACTGACCCGTCTTCTGTATTCTTGCCTTGCTTCAGAATTCATTAAAACCTGCCTTCAGCGCACCCGGAAAAGGTGGCAGCACCTCCCAGGTGGGCAGAGGCTTGGTCTAGAGCCAGGAGGTGCTGGCCATCACCCTAACACCTGATGGCTTTCACTGAAGCTGTGCTGGACACAAGGGAGCAGGTGAGGTCAGTGGGTCACGAGGCCGCTCCGTGTCCTGGATCACTGGCAAGTCTTCCTGCCCACTTCTCGAGGGAAGGGCGGGGATCTCCCTGCTCCTGGCACCCTGTGGACTCCAGTCCTGTTCCAGGCTCTGCTCTGCCCAGAACAGACCTAACTCACCCATGTGTGGAAACCTGTAAATAACTGGCCAGGCCTTTCCTCCTCGTCCCCTCCCCACCCTTTCCGTCAGCAGAGGGCACAGGGCCGAGCCTGCGTCCCTCTCAGGGACACGTACCCACCCTGGGGCACTGTCCCCTCTAGCTCCTTGCTGCTTGGCACGTCTTAGTATATGCTCTGCCCTCCTCTTCCTCCAATGCTAACAAGTCCCTATAGCACCTACAGGAGCCTTGTAGGCAATGGCTAGCCCAGACGGGGGCAGCTGGAACCCACCCAGAGGCTACACAGCACAAAGAGATGGCAGTGAGCTCCCGTGAAGCTTCTCAACTCATTGTCATCCAGCGCGAACCAGCTCAGCCGACCATCACCTGGTTTCCAAGGCTGTAATCCCCCGGAGGAGGTTGCCCCTCTTTCTCTCGGTGAAACTGTCTAAGGGCAGGACCTCTGGGTTACCAGACGCCCTGGGGCTAGGCCTCCAGCTTGTCCAGAAAGCCCCACAGGACAGTTCTGTCTTCAGGTGAAGTCACTGTGGATAGGAATCCCTCACCTGGACCTGGGACAGAAAGCCACCTCCTCTCGGACCCCACTGGGCTTGGCTCTGGTGACTGGCATTTGTCACCATTTCAGGCAGTGGCAAGCAAGCGTGGCCGTGCACGTCACCAGGTATGCTGTGTCCCCCTCTCTGACATGTCTGAGCTGGGCCTGGGCCTGCCCCTCGGAAGACTTGGGGCAGTGAGATTCTGGATTACCATGTATGCGTGCCGGGAACTGTAAGACCAGGAGTCTCACCACCATCTTCAAAATAAAAACAGATGATGGAAAAAAGAAAACAACCCAGCTTTTGCCGTCGAGTGGATTCTGCCTCCTTGCGCTCCTGTAGGAGTCAACGCCCATCCCTGGGTTTCCAAGCCTGCGCTCTTTACAGAAGCACACTGCCACACTGTATCCCACGGGGCAGCAGGGGGTTGGAACCACTGATCTTTCAGTTAGCAGCTGAACACTTCACTGCACCACCAGGGCTCCCTCTTTAAAATAAACCCTCTTGGAAGGGGGGAAAAGTTAGTGGTTTTTTAGAATGCTTTCTGGCAGTAAAAAAGCCAGCTACCTTCTCAGTGTCTCCTCAAGAAATATGCTTGTGCAAAATATAGTAGGTTTAATTGTTAGGCAACTCAACCTATTTATAAATCAAGAATAGAAGCGTGCGTAGGCAGGTTTCGTTTTACTGTCAACTAAGAGCAGTCGAGATGTAGAAAATACACAGCTAAATGTTGAAGCCAGCCATCCGAAGTACAAATAGAAATTAAGTGTCCCAGAAGGGCCACATCACTGCCTGAGTAGCTCAGGAAGCCCCAGTGGGGCCCTAGAGCCCACACTATTAATGTAAACGATGAACAGGAATCATCTTCTGGAGTCTGAGGGCTTTTTCTTAAGTAAATGATTCCCAGGAAAGATGCTTCAAATGGACCTGGAATTCGATGCCCTACCCAGAGGTCGGGAATGAGGATGGCCTTAATAGCCTGAAACAGCCTGGCTTTCTGTCCAGCGAAAACAGAAAGCTTTCACCGAGGGCACTAAGAAGTTAGAAGCAATCAGACAAGGAACGAGGGCTGAGAAGGAACACTTCCTGCGGGAGAGCATCATGGGTGGTGGAGTGGAGGTCAGGGTCAGCGAGGAAGGGCGGGTCGTCCTGCCGAGGTAACATGAATAGAGCTGACGAGGCAGCGACAGTAGTGACATTTCCATCTGCCTCGGGAGCAGAGGAGGTGACCTGGCGTGAGACAAGCCACTTTCAGTAAAATATATCATCAGATGCTGCTTAGATGTGGTCGGAAGACTAACCAGCTACTGCCCTGAGCCCTCCAAGCCTGAGGAATGCTCAGCTGTTAGCCACACCACACGCCTCAGTTCTCTTGTTGCTGTGACAGACACGCCAAGTGTGTGGCTTTACCGAGCAGAAGTTGGTTCTCACAGCTGAGGCTGGAAGTCCAAATCCAGGGGCTGGCTCTAGGAAAGGCCCTCTGTCCCTGTCGGAGCCGGAGGGAAGGCCTTGTCTCTCAGCATCTGTGGGCCTGGCGTTCCTTGGGGACATCCACGGGTCGTGTCCTTCACCAGGTCAAGGAGCTTCCCAGTGCAGGGACCTGGGAACAAAGGAGGTGCTGGGCTCAGGGCTCTTCTGTCCTGGTGACACAGAGGTCCTCCTCTGCTTCCTCCCCCAACTTACCCCTAGTGAGATAAAAGGCTTAGGGACCACACCCCAGGGAAAGTGCCCTAACTTCAGATCTGGTTCCTGATAAGATTAAGTCCTTTTAAGATTGCTTGGTTTGTCAGCTCACCAAGGATCACTCCTTATTGCTGCCATACATGCATGCCCTTGGGGTGACAAGATCCAATCTGTGACATCATGTATTTTATTTTCACCTCCCAAGCTGCAAAGCTCTTCAGAAAAATAGAGGGTCAGGAGAAGGGGCGCGGATTGGAGTGGAAGGAGCTGGATTGACCCAGTACGTACAGGGATGGACGTGAGCCTGGCAGATAGTGACAGTGGCCCAGGCCACAAGGTTCAGGTCTGGTTCATAAGGTCACTCAATGAGTTACAGTCAACTCAAAACGACAGTAGACACACTGCGATCTTTTTTTTTTTTCTCACATCACTATTTTATCCCCCACTCGCCTGCCAGTTCACGATCCTGTGATGTTTGCGTGTTGCTGTGAAGCTGGAAGCTGTGGGTCTGGTAGTTCAGACTCCAGCAGGGACGCCCCACCTGGGATCATGTCGACAGGAGCAAAGCAAGGAGTGGAGAGGAAGCTGCCAGTGAATGGGTGTTAGCGACCAAGAACAATTCAGAAGCAGGTTACACCACTCAAAGGTAATCACTCATGAGATTGTTGGTGTGGAAGTTGGTGGGCTGTTTGTATTCTCAACAACAGAAAGAAAACGTGTTAAAAAAACAAGCTACCAGCAACCGCTAGTATCCGCCAATTAGCTGACTGGTACAGGAGGAGATTGTCCCTCCTTCCCCAGCAGAGCATCTGGTGGATTTGAACCGTGCACCTCTGGGATTGTAGTTGCAGCTCCTTACCACTAGGCCACCAGAGCTCCCCTTAGAGAAGTCATTTGAACAGTTGCAATGACAGAAGTAAATGTCACAGTCTAAAAACCAGAAAGGAGGGGGGAGAGAGAAAGGAGAGAGAGAGAGAGAGAGAGGAAGAGAGAGAGAGAGAGATTGAGAGAGAGAAGAGAGAAGGAAGAGGGAGGGAGGTAGAGGGAGGGAGGGAGGGAGGAGACAAAGCAGAGGGGAGGTGCTGGCTGGCTGGGAGCTCAGTCAGCCTCCAGACCTGGCCGGGGGAGAGGGGCAAAGGGGCACGTCTGTGGCTGTCTTTCTGTCCTGTCCTGGTAAGGCATGCTCCCCTTCACTCAGTCCTGACCCCGGCTCAGAGGCACCTCCAGGAGACAGAGGACTGAGTAGGAGTGGAAGGGCTACAGCCTGCGTTGGTCCTGGGGCCGCCAGCACTGCTGGCCTGACTGGTGGCTTAGACAGCCGGCACTCATGTCTCACAGCTCTGGGGGCTGTTTGGTGCCCCAAGTTAGGTTCTGACTCAGAGCAGCCCAGAACAACCGCTCCCAGGACAAACTCTTGGCCGGCACAGCCCCCTGCTGCCATATCTGACCTCCTGCAGCTGCTGGTGGATCTCTCTGCGCTGACCCGGGACTTCACGCCCTCATCACGTCTTCCTGCAGGGACAGGTCCCTCTTGAGAACACGTGTGGCCTACATGAGACAAAACCCCCTCCTGTTCCCTCCGGAGCCCGAGTCAAGGGACAGGGTGCCACTTTGTGACAGCTTCAGGGAAAATCCATTTTTGTCCTTCCAGCTTCTGCTGCCGGGGACTTTCCTGGGCTGGCAGCTGTCTGGCCCTCCAGCCAGTCTTGTGAGGTTTCTCCCTTTCCACAAGGACGCCATGCAGATGGAATTAGGGTCCCATCCCGGAGGCCAGCACAGCCTCATGTCAACCAATCACATCAGCAGACACC